AAAGAAAAGAAAAGAAAAGAAAAGAAAAGAAAAGAAAAGAAAAGAAAGTACCAGAACAGAATGTCAACTGCTTCTAAGTACTATCACCAACATTCCTATTAGCAAAATGAAAGCAATGGTCTCCATCCATTCACTCTGCATCAAGCAGACTTATACATGTAGTCTGTTCCACGCTGAGACCCCCTACATTCTCTTAGGCACCAAAATCAAACACCATCTCTGTGGTACATTCTATTCAGTCAAGGGCTTTCAAGTAAGTGATAAGAAAAACAAGAGATTTAACTACAGAGAGCAAAAAGAGACAAAATTGCTGTGGAGAAAAGGCCAGGGACTTTAAAAAGAAATTCCGGTAACTGAGTGTGGTGACCTGTGCCTGTAATCACAGCATTTGGGAAGCTGAGGCAAGATTTTGAATTTGAGGCCAGTTACATTTACATAGACTTTGTCTCAAAAACAACTAACAGCAACACCCCCAACAAGAAAAGAAACTAACGACCTGTTTGTAAATAACACACATTAGCCAATGTGACTGAGGGCAAACACATTTTGCTTATTTGAAATAGATTTATTGTTCTATCTCAACCCAATTTTTTTTTTAATAAGTCTATGCGAACTTCCGGTGGGAACTGCTACTCAAAAAAACCAAGATTCAAGTTCCAAGTCTGTCACAATCTTCTGTAATCTTGAGCAAGTCTTACAGCCTCCTTTGGGTCTAGGTTTGTTTCCTCACTTTAGAACCAACTTAGGAAACTTGTACCCTGATTCTGAGCATTATAAACTGTAACTACAGTGCTTAAAAATTACTTACAAAAAACTGACCTCCCTGAAGAGCAGGGTGCCTGAAGAGAAAATAGACAGGAAAATCAGAATTCGAATGGTTATTCGATACAACTAACAACAGCAGAGAATCTGTTACATATCAGGCACTGGACTTGCTCGTTTCAAGTTCCCAAAGACGCGGAAGCGTTCTATTATCAATAATACTTCCATTTTCCCCACACTGAAACCGAATCCCAATGAAGGCTGAAGCGGCTTGCCTAAGACAAGTCGGCAAGTGGTCGAACTTCGGAAGCCCATCCAGCTGGCAAGCTTTGACGAGTCTGTCTCCCAGCTTTGTCAAGAACTAGTTATCTGAGTTTGAGCAAGTCGTGCCTGTCCCGTTGGGCCTCAGTTTCTCTACGAATTCACGACAATAATGTCATGAACCTTGGAGGTGGCTCCTGAGTCCTGTCACCACAGGTTACGGAGGGCGAGGAAGGACCCGGGATTGGGCCCCGAAGTCAGCCAGGGCCGGCTCGGTGCCCTCAGCAGCGCACTTGGCGAGGCAGCCCGTCACACCGGGGCGCCGTGCACCCAACAGGCGCTCGCTGAGGTGCAGCGACGCGACCCGCGCGGCCAGCCCGCCCCGAGCCCCGCGGAGTTACCCGTCCATTACATCCAGGTGCAGGTAGTCGGCCCCCGAGTCCAGCATGCGCAGGCACTCGGCCCCCAGGTTGGCCAGGTCGCTGTTTAGGATAGACGGGCCGATCTTGCAGCCCGACGCCATGGTGCCGGTTCCCTAGAGCGAGTGAGCCCACGAGAGCCCGGGCCAGCCAAGACTTCGTCCCGATTGGGCGCGCCGCACTGGCTCCGCCCCCTCCCGCCTCGCACTGTCTTCCGGACTCTGCCGGAAGCAGCTGCCCTGCGGCGAGGAAGTCCCGCCTCCACCTGGGGGGGTGGGGCTGTCAGATGGCTGGCTAGGGGCGGAGCCAGGTGCAGCGCCTTTGCCTCTTGTCACAGATTTTCCAGGGTCTTCTATCGTCTCAGTATAATGGCATCTTTTCCTTTTGGAAGAAAAATAGTTCATTGAGTATAATGTAAAAAGGCTACTGGCAGATCAGCTAGACTACCACCTACAATGTAGGAATTTGTTTTCAATTGTTTTCTGTTTCATACATCTATGCCATGTATTGTGAGCATATTCAACCCCATTACCCTCCCTTACTCTCCTGCCACTCCTCCAGACCCCTCCTTCCCAATTAATCCCTCTCTTACTTAAATAACTTCGTGTATCTGTAGGTTTTGTGCAGGGAGCCACAGTTGCCTGTGCAATCATTAATTGCATCATTTTATAGAACTTTCCCTACCCTCCATCTCTTACAATCCTCTCTTCTGGTATGTTCCCTAGTCAACCCGCTGATAATTGGTGACTGCTGAGTATTCAGTGTAGGAATTTCTGCAGTAGCCAGTTTGATAGAGTTGTTACTCAGCCATATTTCTTGAAATAGATGAGTGTTGTAATGTCAAATGTATCCAGAGTCTGGGTCAGGAAGAAATGAAAAGTTACATGAAGATATACATGGATGGAACAGAGCAATTCCTAAAGAACAGGATAGTGGATTTCATAGTTTTATTAAAAGCATGGTGGTAATTTGGATGCCATGGTTTCTATGGGGGACACAGTTAGAGGACAATAGTCTTTAATATCATGACTTGGGGATATACCAGCATTCCAGCAGGTCATAATTTGGGCTGTGAAGTCAAGTTGGCTCACTGTCTTCCGTATCTACATTCTGCTTCTATTTTGCAAGATAGAAGATTAGAAACAGGAGTAGATAGGTATCCGATGTGGAGGTAGAGGGACTGGGGGTGTTTAACCCATTAGTGACTTTAGGCCAGGTATAGAGTGGAGGTGTGAAGAACAAGAGATAAAGAAAGGCACAGTCCAGTCCTCCAAAAATGATCCTACATGACCTAGCCCATTTCCAATGTAGAGAAATTAGAGCACATTGAATGATTTTAAATTTATTTTATTATATGTGCATACTCAAACACAGAAATCATTAGCTTCCATAAATATCTTTCATAAACATCTCAGTATTTATTCAGATGCATTTTTCCATGCTCTTTGGTCATTCAGTATACATAACAGACTTTATAGTCATCTGAAGGAAGTTGGCTGTGTAGTCAATCCTTTGTTTTTACCTACAAAATGGCTAATAAAGGACTTTAATCCCATGGTCACAGTGACTATTAAAAATATCATGGAGGTACGTAGATTTATGATCCTAAATGATCCTTAAATAATATAAGTAAATTTATCATAAACTTTTCCAAATACATTCTGCCCTCTACTTGTTTTTATTCTCCTGAGTGTCAAATCAAAGTTTGCTTCTGAAATGCTACAGCTGAGACCCACGAAAGTAAATGAGGAAGTGGGACAGTTTACTCACTGCTGAGACACAAGGCCATGGATTGGTAGTGTGAGGTCACAGAGCAAGAGTGGGACTCTATGTGACAGCAGCAAATTCTGGAGAGTTCTCTGGTAAAGTATCCTGTGTATTTCAAGGAAGGTATTTAGTTCATGTTTTGGACTATAATTCTATTCATTTATGACCCTTTCTTCCCTATGGATCTCTGTACATATGCTATTGTTTCCTCAGAAACTCTAGGAGGTGGGCAGCAAAGTGGAGAAAGTTCTTCACTGACTAAAAGAACAGATGCTAAAAGAGAGATGTCATCCTGTTTTAAGTTACTCTTGGAGGCTTGAAGCAGGACACCAACGGATGCCTCCAGCACTGCCATGTGCACAGTTGTGCCCTTTGACACTGTTATTCTCAGTGGCTTGGTCCAAGGCACTCAGTAACTCACTTCCCTTGTCAGAAGAATCAAATAATCTAATAGAATTATAGAAAACACTGAATGCTGCAAACGAAAGTAAAATGTTTGTTCTAGAAAATTCTGCATCCAGGATTTTAACTGCTTTAATCTGAATAGTACACATGGGTACCTACTATCGTGGATGATATATTTTTATTCCAAGGTCTCTCTATAAAGTTATTTTCCAAAGGAGCAATTTTAATTGGGTGTAATTTTTTAATACCTGGAAAGTGGGTTTCTGTTTTATCTTTCCTCTAAATGAGATAAATATTATTAAGCATCACAGATTAAGATATAATCTAATTTTACTAATATTATATTGATCAAAAGCGATAATTAGTTCTTAGTCACATTTTGAATATTACAAAAGATTGCTAATTAACTTGAACTTGTCTCTTATCTTAACTGTTTTCTTTAGGTTATTCCTTCAAACTCCAGGTAACAGTATTCCTGAGAATACATCTTGTGACAGTCTTATGCACATACATATACTTTAGTTACCACACATAAATATTCAACACGTTACAGTCAACACGTTTAAGGACACATTAAATGGAATCGATGAGAAATCTCAAAGTCCCAAGATGAGAGCACTCCCACTCTGTAAGTCCCATTTCTCAGAGTGGAGATGTCATTTTTTGCCCAAGATAAAACATTACTTAGCTTCTTGAAAAAGTTTATAACAGACTTCCATATACAACAGTGAAGGAGTCAGGTTAAAAGGCAGACAGACCAGTAAAATCATTTCTCAAACAGTCCAACACATTTAAAATATATAAAGGTATTTAGGATTACTATTGAGAATTTAACAATTCTTTGACCTCTATACTTCTTAAATATCTGACACAAGGATAGAGATTTGAGTCACAAATCCAAAAGAGGGAACAAAGCACAGACATACACATAACTCAGACACTTGTAATTACCAAACATAAGGCCTCTAATGCTAATTGAGCAGCATAGTTTTTAACAGGCAAAATATCTCAGCTTAGAACCAGAAAACCACTTACATGTCTACTTCTGCACTTAGAAATGAAATGAGCATTAAGTATAAAAGATGTGAAGGTGTTACAACACAGAAAAGGTTTGTTTGTCTCCTGGATTTCCCATAGTTGTTCTCAGCCAAAAGGCCAAGAAGGTGGTACTGCCCTGATTTTCTGACCTGGGAGATTTTAAATTTTATCCTAGTAAACTTATAGATTAACTTTCATGGTAAATGAGATCATAGCCTCAAAATATATTTGATTTTATAAGTCACTGTGCTTATTTAATAAATAATTCTAACATAAAAATCATTTCCTTTATGATTGTATGGGTTTATAGGTATCTTCTTTATAGTATACATTTCATAGCCAACATAGTCAACATTTAAGCATATAGAATATATTTTAAACTCATCTCAACATAATCAAAATCTCTGTCTAACTTCTATTTGAAGACTAATACACACACGAACACACAAACACACAAACACACACACACACACCAATGTAGGTAATGTTATGAGATTTTTCAATGTTTAGTAGTTACATTTCTCTAATGTAAACTGCTAAACTTTTGAAAACCATTTATAAACTGTATGATGCCCAGCCCTTCAATAATCCACTAAGTACTGGCCTGACAAGCCTTTCAAATTGATTTCTTTTTTTTTTTTTGAAGTAACTGCACTTCAAGTTAAAGCCCTATTTGTAATATATACAAGCTGTCTGAGTCTATAAAGCAATTTATTACTCTGACTTTCTCTCATTAACTGAGATCTTCTAAGGATCATAGAATATTTGACAACTGAGAAAAAGTTATTTTCTGATCTAGTTCTAACATCTTTAATGTATGAAAATATGCCCTCAGGGGCAGGCACAAGGACAGTAAGGGAAAGCAATGCTCTTTCCCAATAGGACCTAATCTGAACATTGATGTCGTCAGGGATGGAAGTAGGAATGCCATCTCTTTCGAGCAACACTATTTACATTTAGCTTTTTTATAATTATATAGCAGTCTATGTTATTAATTCAGAATCATATCTGAGATTCTAGAATATTCTCTGTCTAATACAATAGATATGAGATGGAATGATATGTGGCATCAGAATTTTGGTTTATAGGATATAGTGAAAGGACAGTTAAAAAATAAATTTTGAAAAGTCTATAAATAGTAGTTTCTTTTTTTTTAAATAACCGGCTATATTATTGACTCAAACAAAATGGCTGCAGGGTTTATAGTTTAGTTTCTCTAATTCTTTTTCTTGCTGGTTGTTTCTATGTAAATTTTTGTGCATATAGCCACCTAATGTAAAATTTTGAAACTACAAAAATAAACATTGTGTGAGATGTAGAATGTGAGTATCTTAAGAGACTGCGCTCCCTTTTAGAACCTATAGTTAGTATTATGAGGGCAGTAATATTAAATATTCTCAACTGTCTGTAATAGTATAGATTCTTAGCTACTCAAAGCAAGCTATACACAATGTGCAGCAAGACAGCTCTTCCCATTGTTCTTCCCTGTTATGGTCTTCACACAACTAAAGACTTTCAGCTATTGATTTTTAAGATGTTTTTAAAGCTGTTTCTGAAATACCAGGAGTTTTGGTGGCAAAATGCACTCAGATTTAATGCCATCCATGGGCTATAAGGTGCTGTTTTCAAACTAATAATTTCCATCAGAAGTGTTCTGTGGTCAGCAGTCTTCTGTAGAATGTAGAGCTCCTGCAATACAGAACTAAACATGGGACTCATCTAGCGCTGAGTCTGTCTCCCCCAGCTCGGGAGGAGTGAACGTGAACTGGCTGGACAGCAGGGGATTCTCCATGCCATTTTCCTCACTGATATGAAGGACAGTGTCTCCATGCTGTAAGAGGCTGGATGTTTCAAGGCCAGTGAAGTCATCGGGGTCTGACAGTTGAGTAGAGAGGGGGCTGTGTGCCGCAGCACCTTGTATTTCCGTGTCCTCTTTTTTTTCTCCTTCTTCAGCAAGAAGGGGC